TTAATCAGCGATGCCTGCACCATATATTTGGCCTTCTATATTAACATGCTCCATGTTCTTTTCCTTCTCATTGGATCTAAGATTCAATCTCGACATTTTTGAAGCTTCATTCAAAGATCGTTCTGAAAACTCTACGCATCGGGCGTCGGTTTGTAGGCAAAAATTGTAAAAAAATTCGTGTTTCCGACCTGCCCCTCACTTAAAACTTTTTTCTCATATTCTACACATAATAAAGCATCATTAAAACAAAAAAAAAAATCGATTTTTTCAAAATTCTAGTGGCGTTCCTAAGGCAGTCATTTTGACTGCTTTTCAATTTCAATTAGAAAAACAATTGTGTATAGAATGACACAGCTTCTTAGAATTTTGTGACTTTTTGTACAACATATAAATGCGTTTATTAATAATTGTAGTTACCTCCCCCCTCCTTCATTTCCGGTATCTATATATATATGTGTTATACCTATATTGCCCCAAAGCAGTCAAAATGAATCAAAGTTTCAGTCTTTCTAGTGTTAAGTAACGTTCATCTGGTTATCAGTATTTATGATCTTTTTATGATTAATTATTGAAATTTTCAAGAATTAATATTTTTGCTCCCCAAAAATTGCAATTTTGAGTGAATTTGTTAATATATATAATATTATACTAATTAGTGTAATTATGTAATATTATACTCATTTCCCTTGTGATTAAATCATCGTTCTAACAATCCATATGAAAACGTGTATTTAATCTTAATTTGATTTAAGAGTAATATATTTTATCAGTAACTACAAATATTAATTTTTATAGTTTAGGTGGTTATATGATGAAAATCAAATTTCGAAGTTACGAATTTTAAAAATATAAAGCTAATCTCACACAGTCAAACATTTTAATTATATATGCAGTGGAGGACGAAAGTATTTATACACTTGAAATATAGAAATAAAAAGAACAATATTTTCTATAGTATTAGGTATATTTAATCATATGTAATTGTATATTAAACTTTACACTTACAAAATCGAAGGCAATAACATCATGTAGTAACTTAAAATGACTTGAAATTCATGAGACCGTAAGAAATCGTCGGGACAAATATATTCGTACATTAATTGTATTAATAAATATAACAGTTGTGATGGCATCAGGATAATTCTGATCAATGTATTAGCAGATGTTACGTTAGTGTAGTCAGTAGTAATCGCGACGAGTACACTTTAACAGTAATATTTGCAGTATGGGGAGAAACGCAAAGAAATAATATTAGAAGATAGGAACATTGTTATACGATTACATAAAGAAGGTAAATCATATAGGAATATATCAGAAATACTAAAAAGAAGTTGATCGACTGTACAAAGTATTATAAACAAGTATAAAAAAGAAAGAATATTACGGAATAAAGAAAGAATCGGTGGAACCCAAAAATTAACTATGGAAAAAAGGGATTAGAATTTACAGAACAATACATAAATGCTAGCGACAACTTCTGGGAAAACGCAGTATTTTCCGACGAGTCAAAATTTAATATTTTTAAGTCGGAGGGTAGTAAAAAAGTATGGCGAAAAGCTAATATTGAATTGAATTTCAAAAATATGCAACTGACGATAAAACACGAAGGTGGAACTGTGATGGTGTGGGGATGTACTGCTGCTTCTGGAGGCGGTAATTTAGTAATAATAGATAAAATAATGAATAAACATTTATATTTAAATATTTCAAAAGAAAATTTACAAATGAGTTAGTGTAGATGAATTAGATGAATTTTACTTTCAGCAAGACTGTGACGCGGAACAAACAGTTTATATGTATAGTGAGTCAGTGGTTGTTAATACCAATATTTTCACAGGTTAGCAACTCCTCCATAATTGCTTGACTTAAATCCTATCGAACATGTATGGGTGAAACTAGAAAAATTGTGCGAAAACATGATATAAAGTCCAAAGAACATTGGAAAGAAATATTAAAAAAAGAATGGTGTAATATAGGACCTGACTTTGTTAAACATTTTGGTGTGGTCAATGCCCGATATATTACGTGAGGTGATTTTTTCTTTTTTATAAAATTTATTAATTAAATCATAAGTAGTTAATCCATTATACCTAATTTGCAAATAGTATAAAAGTAGAAGAAACAGTATAAAAACATTAACGGGAATTCATTTTAATTAGAAAATGAGTTTTTGGAAAATTTTCTGATGTTTTTTTTCCAAAAGAATTGAATTAGATGGTAACAAACAACAAAAGATTGGTTCCTAAATTTCTAATCAATTAAATTATGTTGAAAATAATATTTGTTAAAAAAAATAAAATCAATTTTAACAGAACAATAAAATAAATTAATAGAATTAAAGTAGATTTGTTACCGATCGATACTACCAATTCATTCTGTTGTAAAGCATTTTTTGCATATGTATTTTATGGGAAATTAATTAGTTTATTTTCTTAAAATTTGTGATTGACTCCAAACAGGTGGATAAAAGGGGATTAAAATTAATGCAAAGATTAACTCACTAATAATGCTCGATGGTAATTCTGCTTAAATTTTATTATTTTATTGTTTTCAATGTTTCTCTAAATTCGATTCTACTTTGTCCAAACAATACTTATCTTAATTTAATATTTCAAATGTTATTAATTTTATCGTAAAGTTATATATTTTTAATAAAAAGAATATATTTATTATAAATTGTATTTTTTAGTGGTAATATGGTGTTATGTAATGTAATATTTGCAGTGGTACAATTAAAAAAGTTAAATTTTGATTATTTTTGAGCGTACCTTTTGATAACAAAGATTAAATCATGAACTTTAAAAATCTAAATTTAACTTACTTAATGCACATTTTGGAGTAGGAAAACCACTTTACATAATGGTAAATGTTACAACAGGATACATTCAATAGTTATCAGATGTAATAATGTGAAACAGACTTTTTGTTATAACTTCAAAACTGATTAATCGAGTTTGATGATTATAATTTCATGCAAAAACCTAAGTTGAAGAAAGTCAAGTCCAATGTAACAAATTGCACGAAAATCAGTACTATAGGTTTTATCAATGTTTTATTCACAAAATTGAAGACTTTTTTTTAAGTCGGGCAGAAATTAAATTCATTTAAACAGTCGTTGTGTACATTTTGTCGGTATTATATACCGTCAGAATTAGACTTATCTAAAGCGTACTCACACATACAAAAAGATATGTAAATCCATCCATGCAACTTCTATGTGGTATACTTTAGGTAATTTTAATGCTGATAGTGGATGGCAAAAAATTTGTTAAAAAATATGACCTAAAAGTTTCAGGAATTTTCCTGTACCCTTAATTCTTTTGAATAGTGTATATCGCATGATTACATATACAGTACTGATTCGTAACAAGCAACAGTTTTGTGATTCGTAACAAGCAAATTTCTATCCCCTCTTCTTTGTTTGAAGTCGGCCGCTGAGTGAGAGATCCGAGAAAGAGTGAGAGGTCCGCGAAACCGAAGAAGTCATAAATTTTCACGGTCGACCGAACAGTTTAGTGGAAAGAGGACAGAACATATATATTGTTTTCTCACTCTGATGCATAGCGATTCTGTCGTTCATTCATTTAATTCTACATTGATTCGTAATAAGCCACTCGCTCGGATCTGGCCAGTTGCTTGTTACGAATCCGGTACATTATATTGTTTTCTCATTCTGATACATAGCGATTCTGTCGTAATATGACATTTTTTTTTAAATCTAATGGTTGACAGTGAACAATAATTTGAGGTACATTTTTATCTATAATTTTAATTAATTTTTTTAACAAAAATAAAAAAAAGTTGAAGGAAAAATTATGTAAGTATAATACACTATATACAATATATAATACTATATGAACTATGTACAATGAAATGGTCATAAAACT